CTTTTTCCTTTCCTGAGATGCCTTTCAACTAGTCACTATGGCCACTCTTGTTGTGATTGCTGCTCAGTTGGCTCTCAAGGATGACTCTTGGCTAGGAGACTGAGGGAAGGAGGGAGAGTAGAACTAGGGAGGGAAGGAAGGAGAGAGGGAGGCAAAAGCAGCTTGGAAACAGATGCCCGAGGAGAACTTAAGGAGCCCACCATGTGTCTCAAAGAGGGGGCCAGCTGCCCCACAGCATGGGCATGCCTTCTGTGAGGTCGATCCGTGCTGATGCACACAAACCTGGTCCAAAATCTCAGAAACCTGCTCTTTCCCTCAGAAGGGCCTAGCAGCTGCTCTACAGCCCTTCCCCCACTCTTCTTTGTTTCTTTTTAATGTAAGGCCTCGAGCTTACACACACTTAGTTTTCTCACCCTAAACATGACAACACCAAACAAAATAAAAGGCAGCTCTCATGGTCATCTCCGTAGAACTGCTTCCCCAGATCTGGGGCTGCTGGCAGTTTACTTCTCTGGAAGTTATTCTGAAAGCTACGATGCTAAAGGGTGAAGGATTACACACACCGAGTTCTAGCAGGCATGCGGGGCGTATCTTGCTGATAGGAGACATCCATAATTGCAGTTATAAGGAGGTACAAAGAAGTGGATTAAATTATTTGAGGGGGGCTGGGGGGAAAAGTGGGTGGCGAAAGGTTTTTCTAGCATCATCTTCGCAATACCTGAAGGACACTGGCAATCCTAATGACTACTGAGAGAACTCAAAATCTCGGTCTAGGTCAAAGTCAATATGGACTCAAGTATAAAACTTTCAAGATTCATGCGACCAGAGTATAGAAACTGAGAATCTATAAGCCAGAGAAGGGATCTGAAAAGGAGCCAGGATATGGAAATCCAAGTGTTGAGGGTGGAAAGGGCTGGAGGGATGAGAGCCAGAGGAGAGGTAGAAGGGGGCCTAGGGGAGTGGGCTCCTCTTGGGCTGCAATGTAAGCAAGGCAGGCAGCCCTGCGGGTGGGTACAAGAGCGGGGAAAGCTCCTGCCCAGGGACAGGAACAGGGGCCCCATGGTCATGTCAGACCACTCACCCAGCACGGCTGTCTCTACGAGGGCTGGAGAGTCAGTTCCCCACCCCACTCACCCACTCATTTCCCCAAAGACCTTTTCCTCTGTCAAACTGCTCCCAAAGACCACATGACAGAGTTCGGGTGCATGTCTGTGTGGATATGCAAGTCAGTGGGATCATGGCACATGCTGGGAAGAAAGGAAGCCGGGGACCGGGAGCTGCTCCTTTCACTGAAGGCGAGAGTAGCACAGATGCAGGGAAGCCTGAAGAGGCTGCGCTGAGGGATGCTTATGTAGCGCCAGGGAGAGGAGGGGCAGGGAAGTGCCTAGGGACCACTCTGCCGGGTGGGGACTGGGGTGGGGACTGTGTGGAAGCCTGGCCAGTGCTGATGAGGGCTGCTGGGGAAGCAGGGGGCTTCAGCTAAGGCCCAGGGGCTGGCAGAAGTGAGAGCGGGAAGTCCTGGAGAGGCAGCAGAAGGGCGGATTATGGTCTCCCATGGCTTCCATTCTGGAGTGTTCATATTCAGGGCGACCTTCTAGAACACAGGCTGGGTTTTCCAGCCCCAACTCAACAGGTAATTTTCTCTGTTTGGAGTATCTCGATCCTACTTTCCTTGCTGACATCCAACTGTCCTTCAGCCCAACCTCCATTTCCTCCATGAAACTCTTCTTGACTCCCTACCAGACCCAATGGGGTGTCTATTGACTTGTAGTTGGTAAGCTGTTCCTCATGCCTTGCTGTTAACACAAGTCTCTTTATGCCTGCTTTCTTTTGCCTATGGAACTGGAAACACTTCTCAGGGAGGAGGCAATGTCTTACCCATCTCTGGATAGCTCTTGCAACTTGACTCATGCATTGGAGATGCCCCATGCTTATTGAATAAAACTGACCCCTTGGCTCCCAGGAAGAGTGAACAAGGGCAACTTCTCCTGAGCCCAGGTCAATTGCAATTGCTCAGTGCAGGTGAATTGCTTGACAAAAGGTTTGCAATGGTAACATTTTTCAGTAGATGTATCAAGAACCCTGTCAAGTGTCTGGAGTTGACAACTGCTGACTTCCTGAATGGCCCTCCTCTGGAATCCCATGCTGGATCAGTGGCACAGGCCCAGAACAATGGAAAGACATTTAGGAATAAAGGGCCACTCTGACACCAATCCAAAGGCCTCGGCTTAGGTTTCATCTCCTTCAGAATGGAAGCAGGGACTGGGTGATGGGTATATTGGCACGACACACCAAATAATTTTCATGGGGCTTCAACCTATCAGATGCCAACTATTCCAAACACTTGTGTTCCTGTGTTTAAAATAGAGTACCCCTCTATTTTAGCCCTCAAACCTACACAGTGGTCCGAGTGGCTGAAAGGACAAAGGAGGAGAGTGACACTGAAATGCACTTGGAGTCTTGCGACCAACAAGTTCACTTCACACAATAACACACACACAAATAATAATAAAAAATAATTGTAAATTAAAAAAAATAGATTACTTCTACGACCTCATCTTAGCATGCAATATTCTAGACCAGTGTTTCCCAAAGTAGGTGCTACTGCCCCGAGGTGGGGAGAGTGGCGCTGAGTAATCCCGCCGCCCCCCCCCCCCCCCAAAGGAGGCACTAGGCCAAGTAAGTTTGGGAAGGTCTAGATGCAAACAAATGATCTCAAGATGCTCCTATGCCCCTGGATGAACACAAACCGTGATGCTAATACCCAAACTGTCCTCAAATTGTCTTTCATTTGGTGGTGAACCACCTAGGTCATTCCTAGGCCTCCTGTCCCGAACTGCTCTAAAGGAAGATTACAGACACTCTGGGGATAACGCAGCAGACTGTCAGCTCACCGAGATGGGGAAATAGTCAGGGCTGCGTTGTATAAGATTTGTGAAAAGAGCTTGTCAGAGGTGCTTGCCCGGGAAACAGATCATGTGTGTACAACTGGGCTTGCGGGCAGGGGGATGGTCTTTTAACCTCTCTAGAGCACTTGCAGGTTTGCTAAGGGCTACAACATATCCAATGTCTTCACAACAGGCAGGGCTGTCTTAACCCAGGGCACTGGGGGCTTCCAGACGAGCAAAATCAAACGGGGAACCTGGGTTTGGAGAAGTCTTTAAAAGTCATTTGATTCGACTGCATCATTTAGAGAAGGGCAAATCCACAAGTTCCCTGCCAGTGAGTGGATTCCAATGCACAGTGACCCTGCAGGGCAGTGGAGAACGGCTCCATGGGGCTCCTGAGCTGGCAAGTCTTCAGGGAAGCACACTGCCTCATCTTTCTCCTGCTGGTGGGTTCAAAGCACCAACCACGTGCTACTAGCCCAACAATTCATCCACAGCACCCCCAGGCCTCTGCTGGAAAGGTGGGCAGGGAGAAAAGCCCACATAGGTCAAGCTCTACATCCGAGCAAGTATGCAATGGATTAAAAGTAGAGCCAAGGCTAGAATCCAACTAGAACTCTTATTACTAAAGTAACGAAAAGCAAGGACAATAATAATATACTTCCTAAGCTTACTATATGCTTGAACATTTCCTGTTATTTCACAGAATCCTCCCAATCACCCTCTGAGGCAGGGAAAATACAATCCCAAAGGACAGAAATCCTGGGGAGGAGAAATGACTATCCCCAAGGGCAAACGGATTTTAAGTGGGTTCTGAACTCAGGTCTTTTCCAAAATTCTTCCCACTGCTGCTCAGTTTCATGTGAACAGACTGCAGGAAGAATGGTGGCTGCTTCAGGTTCCTGGAGGTGAAGTCTAGTTCATGAGAGCATGGACCAACACTTTGCCTCCTAAAGGCTACTAGCCCCTAAGCCGGTGGTTCTCAACCTGGGTCGCAACCCCTCTGGGGGTTGAAAGAACCTTTCATAGGGGTCGCCCGATTCACAACAGTAGCAAAATGACAGTTATGAAGTAGCAACGAAAATAATTGTATGGTTGGGGGTCACCACCACATGAGGAACTGCATTAAAGGGTTGTGGCATTAGGAAGGTTGAGAACCACTGCAACCTTAGACACACACTGCATAGAAACACTGGTTGCAACTCTTCCCCTTCTTCCATCCATTGTAATGTGACTGAGCAGCCAGCACCCATGCAGAGGCGGAGCCTCCTTGCCATTCCCTAAATCTGGGCTGGCCTTGTGACCTAAGGAGAGGCTGCGAGGCAAAGTGACATGGTGCCAACTCTGAACCTACGTGTCAACGCTGTGCACACTTTCCTTTGTTGCTTGGAGCCCTGCTGGCTGCCATGTGGGCAAGCTGGGGCTAGCCTGACTGGTGGAGGTTGACAGACCACAGTGCATCACAGCCAAATCGGTCCAACTGTCCCTTCAGGGCCAAGTTAGCTGCCCCGGGATCAGATCAGTGCAACTACACTTAGTAAAGGACTTCCTCCACAGGGCAGTTTAGTTCCACCCCCTGTTGAGAATTCGCCTTTTCACTCCAGATATGCTGGCGTGGCAAGGCAAGCATGCAGCAGGGGTCAGTCAAATGGGTTTGAAACCCTGGTCCTGGCCAATAATACATTGTGGTTTTTTCAGGTGATTTGTTATGTAGCAACAACGAAAGATACAGCCCTCAAACACAGACTTCCGTCTACCTGTTAACTTGCCCCGCACAGCCTTAACTTAAATGTTGTGGCGTCTTCCCCTTTAAATGTAGGGCACTGCAGGCCTGAGCTTGTGGGATCAGAATAAAAAGACAACTCCGCCAGCTTAGGTCACAATGACAATGCTCTGAAACCCATCTCTCCATCCTTCCCCCTAAGATCATCCACACCATTCATCCTTAAGGCCACAGAAAACCCACCACTTATGTCCTTTCCCACTCAGGCGCAGGGATCCCATGGAAGGACAGAACCAGCAAGGAGTGGCACACACCACCGGGACGTGCAGGTGCAAATGAATGGTCACGTACACACGTTTGCGAGTAAAGAGTGGCTGGGCGCGACTCACCGAGGGCACAGGTAAGTTGCCGTGCCGGCTGAGAAAGGAGTTAGAGACGGACACACTGATGCCCTGAGTGGCACTGCCGTCCTCGGGCGTGAAGGTCACTTTAGTTTGCTGGACACAGTAGGAGACAGAGGAGAGGGAAGCAGCAGCATAGGAGGCCTGCTGGACAGAAGGGAGAAGAGAGAGGACAGGGCAGAAGGGAGAAAAGCAGAGAAAAGTCAGGCATATATCCATCATATGATGGCAACGGAGGCTGCCCAGGGCCATTGTGGAGAGGGGCAGCTCTTTGGCTCATGAGTTCAGGGCTCAAAACGAAATATGTAACTGAACAAAAGGGTACTTTCCCTCTCTCCCTCGGGAAAGGTTGCAAAAGTTGACTTTCCTACGGGTGATGTGGTGTCCATTAGAAACAGGCTTGGAGCCATGCAGACCCAGGTTTGAGTCCTGGTTGTGCCACCTCTTTAGGGTTCTGAGCTCCTCTCCTGTGGTGACAGGCTGGGAGTCAGGCTGCCTGGGCTAGGATCTGGGCTCCGCCATCTATGAGCGAATTGGCCTTGGGCATTACCCAGTTCTTCACCTGTGACCTGGTGCCACAGTGGCAGCTCCTGGGTAGGCCTGGGTAGGATGAAGCACTTAGAACTGTGCGTAGAACAGTGCACAAGCTACCAGAGAAGAGTACAGTAGGGCTGCCCCCACATCTATCTGCCTCTGAGAGGGGATACCGCAGCCCTCACAGTGCATACCAGGCCACACGCTGAGGGAGCGCTGGCCTTGGCTCCCACTTCTAGCTCTGGGCTTTGAGTACCGTATATACTTACGTATAAGCCGAGTTCGTGGCCTCTAAGGAAAATCAGGGCAGCCCTTTCACATCCTTTTGCAATGGACAAGCGACGGCCCTGCTAGCCTGCGCGTCCCTGCTCGTACTCTACCCGGCTGGCCAGCACGCAAGCTAAAAGCACATCCAGCTCTGAGGAAGTCAGAGACACCCCTCGGGGGCGTACTCCTCCCTCCAGAGCATGGCTGCATCTAGGCTGCCATTCTAAAACACTGGCTGGTGTCTACTGGGGTCGTCAACCGGCAGCAAAGATTGGAAATAAGGGCTCAGAGGCAAGCAACAGGCCTCCCTGAGCTACCTAACCTGCCTGGTCCTGGTGCACACTTCCATCATGCCACAGCTGAGCCTTACTTCAGGGTGCATACCAAGGTCCGAACCTGGGAACTGTTTTTGTAGAGAAGGATAAAGAGACTGGGCCTGAAACACAAAGTGCTCTGTGTCAAGCCACCCTGCTTCAATGGAGCTTGTCTCAACTGGGGTGGCCAGGCCAGTGCTGGACTATAAGTCACTCTATAGCAGGAGGCCCGTATGTAAATGGAGTCCACAGATGGCCTGGATACAGACAGTGCCCTGTGCTCTGATAAAGTCCCCCTTTCTGGGAGGTCTATGTGAAAGCCAAAGAAGAGAGGAAAAACACAAGAGACGGTCTGCAGAGAAAGCCAATATTTTGAGTACAAGCCAGGCCCAGCTGCATCAGGCTGCTGTGGAAAAGCAGGCGTGCCCCCACTGACACCAGGGTGGGAGTAGGTACGCCAGGGCCCCAACATGGCAGAAAACAGTAAGGCCTGCCCAGTCGAGGGGCAGGCGCCATAATATAGTTCCTAGAAACCTGCTGGGATGGAGATTCTGATCACAAAGGGCAGACGAGGATGAAAGGTCGCTTACCAGCTGCCTTTGCTTGGGGGGCAGGGCAGGGGGTGGGGCCAGCTCCTGGCCGGAGTCTCCACTGCTGAAGGAGTCGTTGAAGCCATACACCTCCATGAGGTGCTTGTTCTTCTGCTGGTAGATGTGCTCGTTCTGCGGCGTCTGGTAGAACATGGAGGGCTGGGGCTCTGAGTAGTCCTCGAGCAGCTGCATGTAGGCCAGCACTGTGACACAGAGGAGGTGGCAGGTGAGTGGCAGCCCTGGGCTGCATGGGGATGCAGATGTACAGGCCAAGGCCTTAAAGCCTTGCTAGGAGAGAGAATCACACCCTGACCTTGTAATTCCCC